AAGCTGAATGGGATAAATGTACAACAAACAAACTATACAAAATCAGTCCTGTAGTTGGTGTAAAACGTTGTGCCCACTTTGAAAATCGATGTGATCATATTGTCTACACTCGCTGCCGAATAGGACATTGCAGACTAACCCATAGTTCTCTGTTAGCAGGTGAAGATCCTCCTTTATGTTCTTTGTGCCAGAATCCATTATCTTTGAAGCATATTTTTATGGATTGTAATAGTTGAAAGTCTGTCAGAGCTCTTTATTTTTCTGTTGACTTTTATGGAAAGATTTTTAATGAAGTAAGGCCAGATTTAGTTTTAGAATTGGTATCTGAGATCAAATTTAAAAACTTAATTTAACTTAACTAACCTCGTTCTCACCATGAATATAGCCGAGGTAGCTCGCATGGTGTTAAATCATAAACAAACAAACAAACAATTGAGGCCTTTATTAAGAATTTTAAATGGGTTTATTAAATCAAAGAATTTTGTGTTGTTTTGTTGTCTTTAAGTGATATTTTTGTTTTATGTACTATTTTAGTATTTATCAGTATTATTATTTTCAAATATACTGTAGTTTATATTTTAGTATTTTTGTTATTTTATTTGTAGTGCTTTTTTGTAATATTTCTATTTAGATTTGAGTTTTTTTCAGTTTTACTGTTTCAATCTAAACTAATTTTATTTCAGTTAATTGCACATTTTTAATAAAATAAAAAATTTTCTGAACTTGAATAAAAAATTTTTTTTATTTCAATTAATGAAAATTATTATTTTTTTGTATTCTTTGTTAACATTTCTGAATTAAAAAAAATGTTTTCCAATTAAAAATGATTTTTTTTATAGTTTTAGTTAACACTATTTCAGCTGGTTTGTTATATCTGTATCGCGCTCTCTCTCTCTCTCTCTCTCTCTCTCTCTCTCTATATATATATATATATATGTATTATATAATACCATTAAAATCTTTTTTTCCCCCTCATAGTTAACAAATTAATACATTGTAGTTACTTTTTCATTCATTCTCCGAACCGATTGTCCTGTGAAGCGTTGTTAATTGCTTATAATTAAACATTAAGTAAACATATTCATTGAAATAATATGCATAAATACTACTATTGATTTGTATGAAAATGTTTGTGTGTGTAGAAATTGTGTTTCGGGAATCCACTGGCTCCTCAGCTCCTCAGGCACGTGAAGACAGTCGTGTGGAAGAACACCAGTGATGGAGTCCAGGACAACGGACTCACACTCAACGGTAAAACGGTAACAGCATATATTCATATTTTGACATCATAATTAATGATGATCACTCACTCTTTCACATGTGTTTGTGTGTTTTCCGTAGGTTTCTTGTTCTTGAACACTCTCTTTATCCAGAGGGGACGTCATGAAACCACCTGGACCATCCTGCGTAAATTCGGCTACGACGACACGCTCGAGTTGACCGATGACTACCTCTACCCACCGTACGTCTGTGCATGTGAGAGCATGTGAGTGCACGAACAAAAGCCAGTATTGAAGTGACCTATATATGTGTGTGTGTTTGCAGGTTACGAGTATCGGTGTGTTGCACGACGGAGCTGAATCATCTGGGTCATCAGTTCCTCCAGAAGCTGTTTGATAAGTATGACGAGGTGAGCTCGCACATCTGATCCTCTAATGAACTTTGCGTGATTAGAGGTTCGTCAGGCTGATGCTTGCGACTCTCCTCCTGCAGGATAAAGATTCAGCTCTCTCTCCTGCTGAGCTGAAGAATCTATTTAGTGTTTTACCCTACATGCCCTGGGGCCCGGAGGTGTACAGTAACGTCCCCCTATCAGACGACAACTACATCTCACAGCACGGGTACTTCTGCCAGTGGATGTGAGTCAAAATAGATCATTTTTCTCACTGGGAGTCACTTTAATGTGTCATTAAAAAAAATTATTTCGCTTTTGATGATGATATTCTGGTGGGTATTAATATAC